GACTACTAAGGCGGGTATCGTCGTCGGCAAGCTACGAGCCAACAACGACAAACAAGTCGCGAAAGTAGCCATGGAAGTCGTCGCGCAGTGGAAGAAGGGTGTAGAATCCGAGAAGCGCGCCAAGGGTCTCAAGGCCGGCTCGGTCAGGGCTCAGTCTCAGGCCCAGGGTTCCGTCTCGCCCGCCTCCAAGGCCTCTGCCTCGCCGGCCCCGAAACCCATGTCAGGCAACAGGAAGGCCTACGACCGTGACCCAGAGAAGCGTACCTTCAAGGCCGATAACGTCGAGATCAACCGCACCGGCTCCTCCGTCCGCGACAACTGTATCGGTCTTCTGTACAACGGCCTTGCGTACCGCTCCAAGGAGTCGGAGGATAGTGTCATCATGCGCGCCATCGAGGTGGAGGCTGCTGCTCACAAGGAGTACAAGGGCGAGACGAAGGAGTATAAGGACAAGATACGATCTCTGTTCCAGAACCTCAAGGTCAAGACCAACGCCGACCTCGGCCGCAACGTCATGTCGGGCCAGATCCCCGCCGAGAAGTTCGTCGTCATGTCCTCCAAGGAGCTGATGTCGGCGCAGCAACGACGCGCCGACGCGGAGCTCGAGATGGAGAACATGAAGAAGGCGCAGGTGCCCATGGCGGAGAAATCCATCTCCGACAGCCTCGAGTGTTCTAACTGTAAGAAAAAGATGGTGTCCTACACGCAGGCACAGACTCGCAGCGCTGATGAACCGATGACGACTTTCTGCGAATGCATGAATTGCGGAAAACGATGGAAGGCGAGCTTACTCCCCATCTACATTCTATGCCTTTGCATTGTACTAATACTATACCGACAGTTCTCTTAAGGCACTACTGCTACTTACGGACTCTACTTAGACATACGCATGTGTCTGTCTTTGCCTCATCTAGACCCTCCTTCTCTTAGGCAGTATCAACTGTCCCCTTCTCCCCCCCTCCTTGACTACGATGATCTCACAAGGCTTCGTGAGATTTGTCAGATCGCATACCACAAAGCATAGGTGGCAGGCGTTGAGGAAACTTGGTCGACAATGGAATTTTCTGCGTGGTGTTAGGTTACGGATTCTATTTCTCCCTTCTGTTGCTGTTTTTTTTACTTCTCCCCGATTAGGCCTGGCAGGGTAGGAGGAGATGACGTTTATTTTCGTACGGAACTTTGGAAGACAAGTCCTTTGCTAGGTAAATTCGTGTGGCCCTTACGCATAATTGATGGTTCTCTTGCTGCTATTCGAATACCGTACCATAGCTGAATGGAACTTACACCGATGGCTCGCGCTTTCTAGCAAAACAAACCGTCTTGTAAAAATTCTCGTGCTTGCGTGACATGCCTGATAGTAGAGTTTCTCGTGGATTTATTTCCTATTTTGATTATTGTTTACTGATTACCTACTTAGGTTTCTCTATCCCCAACAGCGCAAACAGGTCCTCCGGCTCGCTCGCCTCGTCCTCCAGCCCCATGGCGGCGACCTGCTTCCAGAACTTGCTCAGGTGCCTCGTCCCCGAATCGCAGAGCACCGTGACGACCGTGCTGCCCTTCGGCAAGCCCATGGCCGCGACGACCGCCGCCGCGCAGTTGACGGCGCTGCTGCTGCCGCAGAAGATGCCGTCGCGCTCGACCAGCCACCGCGCCATGCGGCACGCCTGGCCGTCCGACACGCGCACCGCCGCGTCGATCAGGTCCCTTCCCGCCTCCAGGTTCGCCGTCACCCGGTTGATCCCGATGCCCTCGACCACGCTGTCCACCTGCTGCCGGCGCCGCGTGCCCTCGCGCTCCGTCGGCGAGTACATGACCCCGTGCTGGATCTTGTGGTACAGGCCGCTGCCCTGCGGGTCCGCCAGCACGACTCGCAGGCCGCGCAGCCGAGCTTCTTCTTTCAGGTACTTGGCCACCCCCGAGATGGTGCCGCCGGTGCCGGCGCCCGCGACGAAGGCGTCGACGCGGCCGCCCGTCTGCGCGTAGATCTCCGGGCCCGTCGTCTGCAGGTGCGCCGCGTAGTTGGCCGGCGACTCGAACTGGTCCGCGAAGAACCCCACGCTAGCGTCGGCCTGGGACTCGGTGTGCGCTTTGGCGCGGCGCCGCGCCAGGTTCACGAAGTGCTCGGGCGAGGTGATGGGCTGCACGGGGACCCGCTCTACCGTCGCGCCCAGGTGGTGCAGGAGGTCCGACTTCTCGAGGCTCTGGTCGTTCGGCATGCAGATGTGCGCTTTGTACCCTTTCGCCCGCGCCAAAGCCGCGATGGATATGCCCGTGCTGCCCACGGTGCCCTCGTAGATGGTATCGCCCCGGCCGGGTTTTAGGAACCCGTCCTTCTCGGCGACTTGGATCATGTGTAGTGCTACGCGGTCCTTGGGGCTGTTGCCGGCGCCGTTGAGGAACTCGGCCTTGGCCAGGATGGTGCGCCCCGTGGCCTCGGAGAGGCTGTGGATTTTGATGAGTGGCGTGCGCCCGATGCAGCCCTCGATCCCTTCGCTTATGCCGTTGTCGCGCGGGATCTGGGTTGCGCCGGGGACTAGGCTGCTAGATTCGCGGTCTTGGAGCTCGATGGTGCCCCAGAAGAAACTCGATCGCCGCCGCGCATCTGTGGCGCGCCTAGGTCTGCTCCTTGCCAACTTGCGCTCTTGGAAACGCCGCTCTAAGTCCGGGTATAGGTCCTTGAGCCCGAGAGTTACTAGGACTCCTGCGACGAAGGCGACGGCGACTGCGGCGGTGCCGTAGGCCCGCGGGTGGTCGCTTAGAGACATCTTTTGCTTTCCCCTCCTCTTTGTCTTCTTGGTGAAAAGTGTAGACCCTTACGTCAAAGTCATGGTTTTCACCCTATTGGGTTCATGCACTTATGATTTTCTCGGGTTGAACTCAATCGGTGAACATTAAGATTTAATCTGTAACTTTAGTCCAGTGACTTGTTGCCATGTTAAAACTTAAGAGGGCCGACTACGTCAGTGAAGCTTCCAAATGTCGGAGCGTTACAGTGAGCTAAATTGAGCTGGAAAAAAAAGGAGCTCGGGCCACGTCCACCACCTACAATCTATGTATCCACCAACCAGGATTATACCCACTGAATTGTATGGTACCTAAAATGTACCCCCTGTCGTGTACCACTACCACTACCACTACCCCTGTAAGCCGGCGATAACCCGGCGGACCATCAAAAAAGATTCCCTCACCCACGAGCTTCCTTCGTCTTCCTCCCCACGCCCAGTGTCTAGAACCATGGACTCCCCCATCGTGGCCCAGCTCTTCCGGCAGCTGTTCCGACACCCGGCCTGCCAATCGAGGAGGAACCTAGCCACGCTGTCGTCCTGTCTGCAACATGGCAGACGAATACAGCAGCAGAGGCGGCACATGGCCAGCCGTCATACGACCCGAGGCGCGAAGCAAGGGCTGCCCGAGAAGGAGAGCCATTGGCAGCAGCGGAGCGACCTGTTCGCCCTCGACATGGCGGACGAGTACAAGGCGTATCCCACAGTGACGGCCAACGATCTGCGATCGCGGAGGGAACGTCCGCGCAAGGTTAAGATGTTGATGCGGGACTTCATCGAAGGTTTGGCTTTCTAGACTGCTATGGATATATATATGGATAGCATTGGTTGACTCAGGGATGCAATGATCAGATAGTTTATACAACCCGCACTACGGCTACTTCTCCAAGCAAGTTGTCATATTTAGCCCCGGCGAGCCCTTCCAGTTCAACACCCTACCCGACGAGCCGACTTTCCACGCCGAGCTGGGCCGGCGGTACACCGAGTTCGAGGACGCGCTGGACGCCAAAGAGGGAAAGAAGGATGACACGCGGCAGCTGTGGCATACCCCCACGGAACTGTTCCGTCCGTATTACGGCGAGGCCATAGCCCGCTATCTCATGAGCAATTACCTGATGACGGCGTACCCGTACCACGACCTCATCATCTACGAGATGGGCGCGGGGCGCGGCACGCTGATGCTCAACATCCTCGACTACATCCGCGAGATCGAGCCGGCCGTGTACGACCGCACCAAGTACAAGATCATCGAGATCTCGCCGTCGCTCGCCGCCCTGCAGAACGCCCAGCTGCTGTCCAGCGCCGCCACCCGCGGCCACGCCAACAAGGTCGAGATCGTCAACAAGTCCATCTTCGACTGGGACGCCCGCGTGCCCTCGCCCTGCTTTTTTTTGGCCATGGAGGTCTTCGACAACTTCGCCCACGACGTCCTGCGCTACGACTTGGTCTCCGAGGAGCCCCTGCAGGGCACCGTGCTGATCGACGGCCACGGCGACTTCTACGAGTTCTACGAGCCGAGCCTGGACCCCGTCGCCGCGCGGTACCTGAGAGTGCGGCACGCGGCCACGGGGGGCCGGTATAAAGTGCCGTCTCCCACGAGCAAAGTCGCGCGGTGGGTCAAGCGGCAGCTACCGTTCGCGCCGAACCTCAGCGCCGCCGAGTACATCCCCACGCGGCTGCTGCAGTTCTTCGACGTGCTGGAGAAGCACTTCCCCGCGCACCGCCTGCTGACGTCCGACTTCCACACGCTGCCCGACGCCGTCCCGGGCCTGCACGCGCCCGTCGTGCAGACGCGCTTCCAGCGCCGCATGGTCCCCGTCACCACGCCCCTCGTCCACCAGGGCTACTTCGACATCCTGTTCCCCACCGACTTCGCGGTTATGGAGGACGTCTACCGCGCCGTCACCGGCAAGCCCACCCGCGTCCTCTCTCACGAGAACTTCATGCGCAGCTGGGCCTACGTCGAGGACACCCGCACCCGCAGCGGCGAGAACCCCCTGCTCAGCTGGTATCGGAACGCTAGCGTCATGGTCACCGTGTAGAGTACCTACCTATATATCTACTTGGTAATGTGAATATACTACATATGAACAAACTTGATCAAGAGAGGAGGCTGTCTGAGAGTAATACATACCTAAGTCTACCTAAGAAGACGATGCTGTGTGAATACTTGCCGAAGTTTCCCCTTGCGAAGCGCTCTGATAGTTCTCTAAAAAATGCATCAGCCGTGAATCGAACACGGGTTCATCGACGACCAAGTAGTATCAATGATGGGTTTTACCACTAAACTACTGATGCCTCTTCATGAAGAAGCAGGATCTCCCATGTTACCCGCCTCTGCTAGTACTTGCACTGGATTAACTCGCTATATACAGTACCTAGGCATGGACGGGAAACATAGATCTCGTCAAAACACCTACAAACCTATAGACAAACTTATAGTCTAGAATAGATGGATGACTTGACAGATGTGACCGTCTAGTTCTATTCCCAGGCCTGCGTATTCCGTACCTAAGCTAGGAAGTTAAGTGCTCGTCTACTTCTGTACCATACCCCTTTTCATCACGAGACAGCCATCATAAATAATCGTAAGGCACGAGAAAAGAATATGCATGCAAGGACTCGATTCAGCACCTAACCTAACCTAGATATAGTACGTAGAGTAGTAGGCAGACCATCAACGAAGCTATTTCTCTCTATCTGCTTGCGCAGCTCCTCTCGTCTGTCCTGGCCCTGTCTAGTTGGTTATACCTAGCAGCCGCCGATCCTTTTTTCTTCATTTTTCGTAATGTATCGTTACAACAAGTTTGTGTCCCTTCTAATACGTAGATATTAAACTTTCCACACTCCTAGATAGAAAACCTGGAGGTAGCAGGTATGCATAGGGAGAAGACTAAGGCTAAGGCGAAGCTCAGATCTTCAGCTTCTCAGCGAGCCACTTCTCCGCCACCGCAACGGCCTCGTCGATCTTATCTGCGTTGGTACCTTGTCCCTGCCGTGTCGGCTCCTTGCCGCCCGACTTGCCGCCGACTACTTCGCTGACGGCGCCGGCCCATTTCTCGGCGGTGACACCCTGGGATGAGAGACCCTAATGACCCATTAGAACACTGTATATAGCTTTTGATTCAGACATGAAATAGGGGTTAGACTTACCGTGCCGACGTACACACCGTGCACAACCGCGCCCTCGGCCTTGCTTCCGCTGAACACGTACACGCTCCTCTCCTTGTCCTTGCTCTTGAAGTGGTTCACCACATCCGCGACAGCCTTCGCGTTGGCCGAGATGGGCAGGTGGCCAATGAAATACTTGGCCTCCTTATTCTCATCCTTGGAAAAATGCGAAGTCACGGTATCGAGCGCCGTCTTGCTCTCGGCCTTCTGGCGCTTCTTCTGCTCGTCCACGACGGCCTTGATCGTCTTGGCGAACCGCGTCTTCAGGTCCTCCTTGGTGAGCGAGGATACGACGAGGTTGTTGAGGTCGACGGTGGCCTGTTTGACCTCGGCTTCCTTCTCGGGGCCGAACGGTAGGGCGTCGATGGTGGCGATGCGCTTCGAGAACTCTTCCGCCTCGCGCTGCACACGGTGCGCGGAGTCGCCCGTGTAGGCCACGATACGACGGATACCCTTGGCGATACCGCTCTCTTCCACAATCACCATGTCCTTGATGATGCCGGTCTGGTCGACATGTGTACCACCGCAGAACTCGACACTGACCTTTCGCCATTCCGGGTTCTCCGGTGCCTCTAGGAGCATATCCACATCGATACCGACTGACACTACTCGGACGGGGTTGGGATATGTCTCGCCGAAGACGGCACGAACACCGTTGATCTGCTTTGCCAGGTCGAGCTCGACGTCCTTAGAGAAGATCTTGCAGTTCTGTCGGATGTACTCGTTGGACATGTGCTCAATCTTCTTTAGTTCGGGCAGAGTAACCCCGGTCTTATGTGAGAAGTCGAACCGAAGTTTATCTTGGTCCACGAGCGAACCCTTCTGGTTGACCTCGTCACCTAGGACTTCTCGTAAAGAGTGGTTGAGAATATGTGTTCCCGTGTGGTTATTGCGGATAGGCTGTCTCCTCAGCTCATCATATTCGCAGATAACCTCGTCGCCAGCCTTAAGCTCTCCGTACTTCAAAGTACCGTTATGGATGATATATCCTCCAAATTGCTGGACGTCGTGGACTTCAAACTCGGCAACGTCGTCGATGACGATTCGTCCCGTGTCGGCAACCTGTCCACCTTGTTCAGCGTAGAAGTTCGTTTTGTCGAGTAAGAGTCCAAAGGGTGTGTTCGGCGGAAGGTCCTTAGTCGACTTAACAAAATCTGTGCCAGTGAAGATGAGCTGAACCTTGGCAGTCGTGTCACCCTTGAAGAACTTGGGCTCGTCGTCAGGAACAGGCACTTGTAGCTTGTCCTTCAACTCGGCAATCTGGTGGACGTTCAGTTTCGCAAAAGTCTGAACAGCCTCCTTAACAGCCTTGCTAGCCTCGCGTGCTTTTTCTCTGGCAATGGCGATCTCGTTTTCGTCTGTCTCAAGGCCCCGCTCTTCGGCCATCAACTTGGTCAGATCTTCCGGGAAACCGAAGGTGTCGTATAATCTCCACACATCTGCCCCGGAAAGCTTCTTCGCTCCTTTGTTGACGGCCTGAGCCGCATACTTTTCGAACTGCTTCTCTCCGCGATCTAACGTTCGGGCAAAAGCCTCTTCTTCCTCGTCAAGGATCTCCTTGATGTCCTGCTCCTTCTTGACGATTTCCGGGAATTGCCCACCCATCTGTTCGACTAGCGCAGGCAGGATCTTCGAGAAGAACGAACCGATCTCGGCATTAAAGTACTTTCTGGCATATCGCGATCCTCGTCGGAGCACACGACGAACGACGTAGCCTCTGCCCTCGTTATTGGGGGCGGCGCCATCACTGATGGCGAAGGTAAGCAGTCGTATGTGATCGGCAACTACACGGTAAGCAGTGTCAATGCCATCCTCGTCGTCTTTGCCGTACTTGTCAGTATAAGGCCTCGCTCCTGTAACTTCCTGGATCTTGTCAAATAGCGGAGTAAAGATATCGGTTGCGTAGTTAGAGCTCTTGTCCTGAAGCGCAGATACCAATCGCTCGAAACCCATTCCGGTATCGACGTGCTTGGCGGGTAAGGACTTGAGAGAACCATCTTTCTGACGGTCGAATTGGATGAAGACGTTGTTCCAAATCTCCACCACTAAGGGGTCGTCTTGGTTGACTAGGTGAGCAGCGTTTCGGCCACCGACTTTGTCGTAGTGAACCTCGCTGCAAGGGCCGCAAGGTCCCTGATCGCCCATCTCCCAGAAATTATCCTTCATATCACCTGGCAATATGTGATCCTCAGGTACGCCAACCGACTTCCATAGTTCCTTTGCCTCTAGATCGGGCTCGAGGTCCATGGCGGGGTTGCCTTCGAAGTAGGTGACGTATAGTCGCGTAGGGTCGAGGCCATAAACCTTGGTTAGGAGCTCCCATGACCAGCTTATCGCCTCTTTCTTGAAGTAGTCACCAAAGGACCAGTTACCCAACATCTCGAAGAAGGTCTGTGACTTCGATCAGATTTTGCGGCAGCAAACAGGATAAGTGAATGCACCTACGTGGTGATAGCTATCTTTGCCGACATCATCAAGGTCCTATGCAACTCCAGTAAGTTCCAATACGTCGTTATAGTCAGGGGCGCAGGATCTCGTACGTTATGCTTTCCACCTGCACGTATACACTGCCGAGTGAGTCAGCGACTCAGCTTCCTTATACGAAGCTCGTCACCCCATAGCAACCGAAAATACCTTTTGAGTGTCCACGGCACGCTTCAGCTTGGACATATCATCCGTGCTGGCGATGGTGCCCAAGAATATGGGCTTGAACTGGTTCATGCCCGCATTGGTGAAGAGCAAGGTGGGGTCATTGTGCGGGACAACCGACGACGAGGGCACTGGGCAAAACGAGGGAAATTAGTTATTTTAAATGCATCGTTGAATAGAGCGATATCGAAAGATTCGAATCGATGCATGTTTGAACTACTAAGAGGTGTGTTGTCGCGGTTGCGTACCTATCGTGTGTCCTCGTTGCTCGAAGAATTCGAAAAAGGTCTTGCGGACCCCTACGCCGGTCCACTTGGGGTCACCCATGTTGAGGGGGGTGGTTTGCGCTGCTGTTGAGGTGGTAGAGAATTGGGATGTATTTGGTTTTGGAGAAATAATAAAATAATGTCTTGGCCGGAGAATCGAATTCAATCTGTTGCTGCTGCAAACTATTCTGGTGGAGTAAGGAGTCGGCCGAATATTGTAGTTGTTTGCGGCCGGCAAAGGAGTAAAAGAAGGAACTATGGTTGTGTAGAAAGTTCTACAAGAGTGACTCAATAGACCAATGCGCCGCCTATAAACGGCGACAACCCGCCGCATTAGATTTTCATTCGCCTTTTTAACCTTAAATTCAATTGGACCCTTTCTTTTTTTTAAAAACCTCCCGCGCAACCGGACCTAATAAACTTGCTCACGGCGAACCGTTATCAATCCTGTACCTTGTACATTTAATTGATAGAACGAAATTATTCGAGTCAATTATATACAATAACCATTAAGGACGGATAAGAGTCATCGCCTGTCATCGCCGGTTTCGCGAGCACTTGGGAAGAGGTACGTGCTCAGTGCTGTAATAAGGTTAAAGAGGTGTGGCAGACTGGCAGTTGGAGAAACCGATAAGAGACGATAGAAGGGGAAAAAGCATGGACGTCGAAATTGGACCCCCAGCTGCCTTCTCACAGGCCAATCCTAGAACTATGCACCTCCCCGCTAGAACCCTTCCAACGCCTTCCATGAACCAATTCCACAATCAGATTCCCAATTCCAATCTCAATTCCAATTCCAATGTCAATGCCTCGTATTCGAACTACGATCTATTACAATACCAACAACAGCGACACAATCTCGATGTCGGTAGAGGTATGCGCAAGGTTCGCAAGAGGAAAGCCGAGTCTCAGGACAACGAAAGGCTATCCAAGAGACTAAGTCTACTCAATCTTGGTAAGTCTCTCTTCCTCTTCTTCCATCTATACTAAATCAATCCTGCGTCAATCAAGTAAGAAATGCACCGTCACTAACAAGCGACAAACAGAGAAAAATGGCCAAAAACTCTACATCCCGGTCGAGAGCCCTCAGCTACGGCCGACCGAATCCCCTACCCTAACCCAGATCCCCGAGGACGACGCGATGCAGCTCGACAACTCGAAGCACAAGGTGTACATCTACAACATCGACGACGAGCTCTCTAGTGGCGACGA